ATTGAATATATACACTTCGGGGTTGTAATCTCCTTTGAAGTTGTCATGGTATCCCTTTTAAAAATTCTTAAGCAATTTTGAGATATGCTCTATGTAAAATGCAATGCACTGTTGCAAGTGTACAGTTCAGAGTTTTGACAAATGGATAATTCAGGTAACCATCACCACAGTCAAGACACTGACCATTTTCATCACGCATGACTCTTCTCAGTAATCTTCATTCTTTTTTTTAAGAATTATTTAATTTATGGGAACCAGCAGTTAGCGTAATGGCTATGTCGCTGGACTCCCACGTAGTCGATCGCGGTTCGCGTCCCGGACCCGGTGGCTTAAAACTCACGCCAGGTGCGTGTGTGTGCGTGCCCAAGATCCCGAGAGGAGAATGGAGGAGAAGGGATTGTGGCGTGACCATCCCCCTGGGGGGTGATTTCTCACTTTCTGTCTCTATGTCTCTCTCTGTCTGTCTGGCGAATGCACTCTTGCCCTCTAGCGAAAATCTCTCAACAAAAAAAGTAATTATTTAATTTATTATTATTATCATTTTTTAAATATGCTTTAGGGCATGTATGATTATCAGAGAGAGAGAGGGAATATGAGAAAGCAAGCCATCGTCCGAGACTCAAACCATGGTTGGCTAAGTGAGAGACCAGTGACTTAACTACCATGCCACCTGGTTCAGTAATCTTCATTCTTTTTTTTTTTTTGAGAGGTTTTTGCCATAGGGCGCGTGTACTCGCCAGACAGACAAGAGAGACAGAAAGCGAGAAATCACCCCCCGGGGGGATGGCTATGCTACAATCCCTTCTCCATTCTCCTCTTGGGATCTTGGGCACGCACGGACATGCACCTGGCATGAGTTTAAGCCACTGGGTCTGGAACTCAAACCATGGTCGACTACATGGGAGTCCAGTGACATAGCCATTACGTTAACTGCTGGTCCCCTAGTAAACTTCATTCTTTACCCTTGGCCTCAGGCAGCTAACCTGCTTTTTATCACAATACATTTGTTTTGTTTTTTTCCAGAGTTGCATATAATGGAGTTATTCAGTATTTACTTTTCTTGTCTTTTGCTCAGCACAGGGTTGCTGAGGCTATCCATGTGGTTGCGTTATCAGCAGCTTGGTGGTTTTTAGCGCCAAGTAGCATTCCATTGTGTGGGTTTAGCACAATTTGTTTGTCTATTCATCTGTCCATGGACATTTGGGTTTTGGACTGTAATGAATGATGCCTTTATGTGTACAGGTCCTTTTCTGCAGACATACGCTTTCGTTTCTCTTGGGTAAATATCTAGGAGTAGAATTGCTGGGTCAAATGGTAAGTGTATGTTTAACTTTATCAGAAACTGCCAAAACACATCATGTTCTTCCGAAGAACTCGATTTTTTTGGCAAAAGTTGCCATCCCCTCCAGGATCCCTTCTCTGTTTCCATTGGATTTTGTGGACTAGATATTGTAGATGGTCTGGAAACAAGTCAATGTGTCAGCTCTTTGGTCTGGAAGTTCTGGGTTAGGTCAGGGCTTGTTCTGAATTAGATGGCACTGGGTTATTGCTTCTGGCAGACCGGGCAGGACAGATAGAAGGATTTAAGTAGTCTGTGTTATGCTCTTTGGAAGAGAGTGCCTTTCAACCCTGTGGGAAAAGCTACTCTTGTCTCAATCCAGGAAACAGTTAATCCCTGAAGGATGTGAGGAATTTGTAGGGGAAACTGTTCCCCTGGGAAGGTAGAAGCTTCTAACCTAGCCCTTTCCTTAACTTTCCAGTCCTTGTGGAAAGAGAATGCTATGGTCGGCCCTGCGTGGGAACTGCTGAGGGTTGTCGGAGTGGATTAGACTAGGAAAACCTTGGCTCAACACCCCTTTCTGCTTCAGACCTGTTTAGCAAATGGAAATGAGGCACCAAATCTAGCCCACAAGATCCAAATGTGTAAAAAGTTTGCTTTGTAATGGAAACAATGGGGAGTTATAAGATGTTACTCATCTACACACTAACAACTAGCCAATGAGATTTGCTAGTGTGTTTCTCCCTCGTTATTTTTTAAAGTAAATATGTGATAAGAATCAAATATCTAATCACAGTTTTGCCATAATTAATTCAGCTCAAGATCCCTTTTTTCCTCTGGTTAAAGGCAGGTTTGTGCTTGCTAGCGTTCTTTAAGTATATTAAAAGCAATTCAGGGGCCGGCAGATGGTGTGGTGGTTAATGGCCAACCATGGTTTGAGTCCTGGACCTGGTGACTTGCTTTCTCCCTTTCCCTTTCTCTCTCTGTCTCTGTCTGGTCAAATTAAAAAATAATAATAACAAATGGAATTAAATAAATGAATAATTCTTAAAAAAAAAAAGCAATTCCGATTTTACAGACAAAGGTGTTGGGGAAATGCTGTGTTGCAGTCCCTAAATGCTAGCCATACTGTGAGAGCACCCTAATTTTTCTGATGAACTCATTTTTGAATCTTTTCAGCCCTGTTGGCTGATACATTAGTTATCTTTCACTGCATAACATGCTATCACAAATTTAGCAGCTTAAAATCCCACATGCGCATTAAACCACAGTATCTGTGGGGTAAGGAATCTAGACACAGTTTACTTGGGTCCTTTGTTTCAGTCTCTCTGAGGTGACAATCAAGGTATCAGCTAAGGATGGGGTCTCATCGAAAGGATGCACTCCAGAGGTCATGGGCCTTGTTGGCTATTTCATGTCTTGTGGGCCTTTCCAACATGGCGGCTTGTTTCATCAAAGTAGGCATGCCCAGAAGAAATAAGGAGAATCTGCTATCAAGATGGAAGCTAGGGACCAGCAGTTGGCATAATGGCTATGTCGCTGGACTCCCACATAGTCGACCGCGGTTCGAGTCCCAGACCCGGTGGCTTAAACTCACGCCAGGCGTGTGTACATGCATGCCCAAGATCCCGAGAGGAGAATGGAGGAGAAGGGATTGTGGCGTGGCCATCCCCCCTGGGGGGTGATTTCTCGCTTTCTGTCTCTCTCTGTCTGTCTGGCGAGCGCACGCGCCCTATAGCAAAAACCTCTCCAAAAAAAAAAAAAAAAAAAGATGGAAGCTACAGTTTTATGTAATCAAAAGTATATTCTCATCACCTTTGCTGCATTCTGTTGGCTAGAAGCAAGGCCTAGGCCCCACCCTCACTCAAGGACAGACCACCTTAGACTCTGCCTGCCACAGCCAGCTTAGCCAGAGCTACCTACTCTAAAACCCAGTGTGCTACAAACTGTTGCCTGGAGGCTCTAGAGCAAGCTATAACAACTCCACCAGAGAAGTAGGCATTTGTGGGTAAGTCTGGCACAGACTGTAAAGGATAATCCAGAGTCTTTTGTTCTGGTGGGCTTACCCTTCTTGCAGGAAATGGGTAGAACAAATGGACTGAAACTGAAATATAATTTCTTATATGTGAAGACCAGCATCCTCTACAGAGGCTGACCCAAAAGAAGTCCTCAGTAAAAATCATTAACATGAATGGATTTTAGACCAGCTCTATTGCCCTCCTTTCATAACAAGCATGTTCTGATACCCTTCATCCTAAAATGAAGTCCATAAATAGCATTTACCTATACATGTCATTTCTAAACATCTATATGACTTACCTGTAATATTTAAAAAAAAAAAAAAAAAGGAAACAATTACAATCAAAACAATGTATTTCTTTTTTTCTTTTTTTTTTTAAGAGGTTTTTGCCTTAGGGCACATGCACTCATAGGAGAGAGAGAGAGATATAGACAGTGAGAGGGAAAGTAAGAAATCACCCCCTACAGGGGATGGCCATGCCACAATCCCTTCTCCATTCTTCTCCCAGGATCTTGGCCCGCATGCACGCGTGCCCAGTGTGATTTTCAAGCCACCAGGTGTAGGACTCTAACCACAGTAAGACATGTGGGAGTCCAGCACCTTAACCACTAATCTGCTGGGCCCAACAATGTATTTCAATATGTAAAGTTTCTAAATTAAACTTGTTGGTGCTTGCTCCCAAATTTAAAATCACTGTTACGGAGACAGCTATAACTGCAGAGTATTTGGTTCAGGGAGGTGGAATTAAGGACTTGGATCCTATAATGTGCCATTGATGGCGTGGCTTTCCAAGAAGATGAACAACACACAAAGTATCATCATCCACAGTTTACATGGTAGTTGCATTTCTGGAAAATTCATTGTATGTTTGAATGGTGCGACAACAGCAACAAAGAAATATCTCATTCGTTAGTCTAGGACCAGGGGTGTCACGTAGAACATTGGAGAGCCTTGAGCGTCTAGAGACAATTTATTATATGAGACTTACTGCACTTTATCAGACAAATGTCTGGGAACTGACCCTTCTCCTATATACGCTTGTCTCCCAGTTCTAGGACTGTGTCTCAATTGTTGTAGCAACAAAATCCCCTTGAATTTCACTTGGGTTTCACATCGCTCACTGAAAACCACTGCAGTGGGGCTTAGCCTCTAGATGAAAGGAGAGTGGTGCAGTTATTATGGTTCATGGACACTATTAAGCCTAAGTAAATAGCATGGAGTACCGTGAGGAAGATGAGGATAAATTTTATGCACTCAGAGTATCTCCTGTGTGGACCAGCCAATGGCATTGTAGTTACAGCTGCTCGATCCCACATGGCCGAATATGCAGTTGAGTTCTAGACTTAGAGATTTGGAAAATATGCTTGGTGTGTGGGTGCATGTGGGCATGTGTGCCCAAAATCCTGAAAGAATAGAGGAGAAGAGTTTGTGGTGTGGCCATCCCCCCGGGATGCTTTCTCACATTCCTTCTCTGGTGAGAGCACACACCCTTATAGCAAATTAAAAAACAGATTTAAAGTATCTCCTGTGGCCCAACTGCTGAGGCACAGTTGGGGTGCTTTAAGATCCAGCAGGAGACTGCAGTACTACTAGGGGTAGAGGAGAGAGCACGCTGGCAGGCTATTAGGAATAACCAACGCAGAGCAGCCATATTGCACGCTGGATTTTAAGAATACTGACAAATGCTTTCTTTTCCAACAGAAACCTGTTTCCCTCAAATCTTGTGGTTGCTGCTTTTCGTACGGTAAGGTTTACTGCCTTGCTAAAAAAATGAAACTTTGATGGAAGAGATGTAAAAATTACTGCTATAGGTTTGGGTAAGGTGGAATGAGTGATATTGTTTTTAAACTTGGTAACATTAGCCTAAGTTTTTATAGACACCTGAAGTTTAAAAAAAAAAAAAAAAAAAAAGGTCCCACTGGTTCTAAAGTCTTTTTACAGCACCTAACAAATTCCCTCAAACCGCATTTTGGAGATGTCTTAAGTATTGCAGAACTTTTTTTAAATACTTTTTTTTTAAAAGAAGTTTTTGCTATAGGGTGCATGTGCTTGCCCAAGAGAGAGACAGAGAGACAAAAAGTAAGAAATCGCCCCTGAGAGGATGACCACAGTGCAATCTCTTCTCCATTTTCCTCTCGGGATTTTGGGCATGCACGCACACACACCTGGCGTGAGTTTTCAGCCACTGGGCCTGGGACTCGAACTGCAGACATCCCACAGTTTACATGGTAGTTGCATTTCTGGGTTTCTCCTGACAGTGCAGGGGCCAGGTATCCTCAGAAAGGGTCACAAAAGACTGAGTTCCAGCAGATTCCACTTGATAATGTGTACTGCCACAGGGAGGACCTGTGTGCACCACATGGAGCAGAGCTGGGGAGATGTCTCCATTCTGACAAATTGGTCTCCCAAGAGACTCAGTCTGAAAACACCATCCTACCTCCTGACTCTTTGGAGAGTGGAGGCTGACACCATATTAGAAACAGATGCTAAAGAGCAGTCACACTCAAGTGAGTTCTGGAACAACGTGGAGCACAAATAAATGAAAGAAGGTAAAACGATACATTGAAAAGTGAACTTTGGCATGTGGAATTAGTGCCAGGGTTAGTCAAATAATATGAAGTATCAGCTATTTGAAATACCAAACTGTCATCAGGAA